CCCGGAACCCGTTGGACCGACCGGTGGACGGCATCGCCACCTATAGTGTGCAGCCGTACGAAGCGGGCACTTATCTCAACAAAATCCAGTGCTTCTGCTTCGAGGAGCAGCGGCTGAACCCCCACGAGGTGGTCGACCTCCCGGTGTTCTTCTACATCGATCCCGAGTACGCGGACGACCCCCGCCTCGAGAACGTCGACGATATCGTACTCTCCTATACCTTCTTCGAGGCCAAGAAAGGGCTTACATTACCGTCGTTTATGTCGTCCCCCGCGGCGCCTACACCCTCGGCACCGACACCACCATTGCTACCGACCCCTCCCAGTCCCACACAAGCGGTGCAGAAGTTATAATGAGTTTATTTGTTTGAATTAATTGTTTGTTTTGACTTTTTTTGTGGCTTTAATTTGAAGACTTCCAATAAATATATATTTAAAACTTATCAAATGTTTTATCTATTTTAGATTTGCATTAATAGTGTTGCTATGATTTATAAATCATTTTATAATGTATGTAATATACCGTAACGTAAAAAATAATTCAATAAATATTACAGTATTTGACAATTCATTTCATTTTCTTTTACGATATATTGATTATGAATAGCTATATGAATGACACAAATATGTGTTATTCTCTTAAGTCATTTCCTTTAATAATGAGGTTTTTCTCGTATAAAACATTAAATGCTTTTTTGTATTCACAATATTATTATACAACAAATTATTTATTCAATTATTGACTGTACAATCAATACTTTCAGCACTCATTATACTCGTATGAATTGTGTTTTTAAATAGCAATTTGACATACAATTGATTCCTAACTATTATACATTGCAACTGAAAATTATTTTTAAAAATTCTGAAAAATATTTTTTTTGTGTAAAAATATTAATTCAATTGCATGCTAACATTATAATTTTAAATTACTTTTAAGTTCACTAGTATTGCAACTCGAATCAAAATATAACATTTATGTCGTTATAGAAAATTTTTATATAAAATTTAAAAATTATATTTTTTAACTAGATTAAATGTGTGCATTTTACAAAACGTTAAAATAAATTTGTTAATTATATGCAGGGTTTATTGTGTGTTAAAATCAATTTATTTTTATCCTTTTTATTTTATATTTTATATGCGAGAGAGAGAGAGAGACTATTACTTGACAACATTCATACATTTATGCAATATATATAGAAATTCAATTGTAATTGACATTTAATGACAAACAAAACAATTGTTTGGGAAAAATAAGTTGAAAACATTTTTATTATAATTCAATATTTTATTTTATTTAGTCTCAACGTATTGTATGACTCACTTGTCAGTATAGCATTGAAAATAAATACCATACATTGAGTACTGTCAAATAATATACTAGTATCGGGTTTAATTTTAATTTAGACAAACTTGTGTGCTCATAAAATAGTTTATAAAACTCATTGCAATATGTTTGGATACTTCATATGGTAATTGAATTGTGAATGTAAAAAACTTTCACATTATTTGGCAATCATTTAACTCTCAACATTCAGGCCAATAACGGTAATAACCAAAAAAAACTTTTATCAACTTATTTCTGGTATTGAATTGTGTATTATAATATTTATTCATTTCAAAAACTGTTCACTCAACTGAATAAATATTTCAAAAACTCATCTATTTATTACTCTCAGACTTCATTTCTACTGTAATTACAAAATTGTTTTAATTGTCAATTCAATAGACACAGTGTTTGAGTGACTAGTGTTTGCTTGTACTGCAAATTGCAATCAATACACGTAATGTAATTATAATACAATAAATTTTATATTATATTACTGTATACGACAGGTCTATTAGACGTGTACCGGTGCTGGTGTGGTGGAGGTGTATCTCTGATAACTGTGCTCTCTCACTGTCATATTAGGGTGTATTTCCCTTACAAAACTGTCCGAAAAGGGTATATACTATTTAACAGGTATTTATATTTTCACTACATTACAAAACTCCCTATTACAATTAATGAACACATTTTAATAAGCTATTAAAAACCCTTTACGATAACCTGTAGTACACCGTATCGTAATGTATATTAATTAAGCAAAAGTTTTTATTATTACTATTATTTGACGGGAAATTCAGTTTCTCATTGGTTTAGCGCTTTATTTCGTAGATTAGATAAGCGTTGACTCAATATATCGATATAATTATCGTTATTTCAAGTGTTGTTATGGTATACGCCATACATTTCGCTACTTTTCAATCGCTGATTAAAATAGTTTTCTCACTCATTATTATCTGTTAATTAACACTAATTTTCTGGTTGTCTCTCAGTTTTGTCGACCACACGACTGTCCAACGGTTAC